TATATGGGATTCTTCCAATTCATTAATACCTAGTGTCTGTTTATTTTTCTATCTGCATTTTGTTTTGACTTCCAACAGTTTATTTCATTGCTCTCTCTATATGACAAGCTGCTTCCTAGTAGAACATAGCTTTCAGGGTTATTAACTGCTTGCTGGCATCTTATTTACAGTTAGCAAAGCTGAATCATTTGCAAAATCTTAGTAATGATTTATTTTCAGGTTTACAATGTCTTCCTTATAGCTCAAAAATTTATATAACAATTGTTAATGTATCATGCAGAACAGCAGCCTAAACATAAGAATATTTCTATCAAACTTTCTTAGTACGGGAATTTAAAGAGCAGTTCCTGAGAATTTATTACAGACGACAGTTTGGAATATTTTTATGCCCAGAAAATCTCAGGTGATGCCATTAAGACAGCATAGAAATACCACCAAATACCAAAGGAACAAACTGACTGACAATTATCTAATGGATTTTTCTGATATCCAAATCTGGGAGTGCTAATTCAATAAATAGTCACTGTACATAAACAAAGCATGGGCTATAACTCTCAAAAAACTTAGAATTGTCTCAAAGTGTTTTGCTTTGTTTAACAGAATATGTTATGTGTAGGGTAGAGAGCTTAGATCTTTGACTGCCACAAAATAAGAAATAAGAAATACCACAACTCCACAAAATCAAATCTACCAAAGCACTCCTAATCTGTTAATTAATTAGTAATTAATAAGTAATATTAGAATGGCTTTGTACATGCATCCATCCATGTGATACCTCCACAACTGACTACAACTGACACACAGGTTTGCATAAAGACCTTCCATATTTATGTCTGGCTTTTAATGTTAGGTTTTTACAACTGAGTATACTGATACATATATTAATACAATATTCATAATATTTACCTAGACTTTATCATCTTATTTTGACTGGACTGCTTTGTAATAACTTTGTAATAATTTTGATAATGGCAATATAACATTTGGTTTTGTCACCTTTAATTTGATGATTATTCATAGATTCTTCAAAGGGAAAAATATACCATGCAGAGTAAAACCCAAGGCATACACTTTTAAATCCTTGTGCTGTGCCATGTGTCCCTTGCAGCTGATAACAGTCTGCTAGGATAGCTTTAAGTATAAAATCTAGAATGAATAAATTAAGTTGCAAACAGAAAAGACTGTTTTGTTTTTTTTTTTAATTCAGCCTTTTCTCATGTTGTTATGTTAACTGTGTTACCATGTTTGTTAAATTGTAAGTTAAAAGTTTTTAAGAATTCTTTATGTTCATTGTTTCTGGTCCAGAAGAGAGAAGAAGATGAGGAAATAAGTTTGGTTGGGACCTTGTCACTGCCTTATGAGGATAATTTTAATCTTGGGCCATGGGAAACAGAGATTTGGATCATGTTAGTGTTTTTTGTTCTGTTCAGTTTCATGTTGATGATTGTGCTGTTTTTGAGGAGAAAAGAGAGGGGGGACTAGAGACCTTGTCCACTGCAGAGAGGCTCAGTGGGGTTGCATGTGTTTATAAGTTTTTGAACAATTCATTTATGGAGCCTAACCCTCCAACTGTTGGCTATTAATTCCCTGGGGGAGGAGATATGCTTGTGTTTTCAGAGGTAGAGGACCCCAGTGGATCACAGCCAAAATGTAAAGCCCGACCTGTATCCACTCTGTGAACAACCACAGGAAGAATCCCCAAAAGAACAGGAAATAGAAGTGGCTGAAAGAATATCTACAGACAACATATCTTAACTGTTTGCCTTTTACTTTACAGATTATTTTCCAGAACATGGCATTTAAAGGACTCCTTATGGCACTTGGAATATTCAAGATCCTGCTCCTCAATGATGGCTGAGTAGTCCTGCAGATGAAGCAGACATAGCTGCAAGGACTTCAAGAGCATGTGTTGCATGAACCTATCTGAACACAGTAAGTCAATACATCGGAGCATCCTAGTATTGAAGGAAGGAGTAAAGAAGTTACAAGTTGAAGATAGAAATGACTAGTTGAGTCAACTTTTCAAAAACTGTGGGTTTGTCGGGTTGGTTGCTATCATTGGTTAAAACAGGTTTGCTTGTTCTTATAGTTATTGTTGTATTGTTAATGTTGCTTTGCTTAATAACTTTTTTTGTTAAGGGTTCTCAGGAAGTCTTTTCAAGACATTTTAATTTTTCAACAGAGAAGGGGGATATGAGGAGATAGAACTGGTTGGGCATTGATTTAAGACCATAGGATGTTAGCAAGTCTGTTCATATAAGGTTATGCTTCCAGAATATTCTTAGTTTTCTCCCCTGACTGATTGTCATTTGCCACATTATTTTTAATATTTGTAATCTCAGTCTGTGATTGGAACCCTCCCTTCAGACCAACCCTCAAATCTTCCTTATATATCCTGTTGTACCCACCCTTTTTCCACCTTTTGTGGTTGACTCTATACTGTGTATTCACCTTTTGCCATCTGTTATTTTGCCATTAAAGCAGTTTTACTTTTTGGGTCACCCAACCGTGCCTATCCCGTTTATTTGCCACACCACTCCTGGCTGGCCCAGGTCCGAGGCAGTGTAAGCTGAAGTGTGACAGTAGATGGTTTAAGGATTATTAATAAGCTAAATAATATATATATAAATGTAAATGTAAATATAAATATTAATATATATAATATATTATACAATAATATATATGTCTTATCCTGTGAAGCACGCAGTGTATCCTACAAAAACCTAGGAATACTCCCTGGAAGAAAGCAATGATTCTTGAATGATAATCCAGGAAATAATTTAAGATTTGGGATGATTTGGGGTAAGGTTTGAAAGTGTTACAGTTACAGGTATTTCCTATTGCCATTTTTCTCTATTTTTTTCCACATACAGGAAGCCAGGTTTGAGTAAGGCTATTGGAATTAATTTTTAACTCATGAAAGTAGCATTGAAAATCACCATGAAGAACTAAATAAACAGCTTGATTTTCTGTTGCATATATGAATAGAAGCTCTGATGTTCATCATATCTGAATCTCAAGTTCTTTCACTCAAGTGTGTCTGATTGTTGTGAGGTGCCTCAGGGAGGCAAAGATTCAGTTTCAGATAAGCATTGTTAAAGTGAGAGGAATGGCTGTAAGCCATGTGTGTGAATTTTGACCCCTGCTTTGGGGGATGGGCAGTGTGAGCCCTGGATGAAGCTGTCCCACCCCAAACCCCTTGTGAGGGGTGTCCCAGGAGTTCTGGTTGGGTTTGGGCCCCTGGGGTTTCTCCCTTGCTATGTTCCTAGTGGTCCCTGATTCTGAACTCCACCCTTTTGTCCATCAAAACCCCGCACCCTACCTTTGTTTGGTGCTCTCTGTCTCTGAATGAGTTTGTTCCCAGTCTGAATAAATGGTTTCATGAACAGAGGCTCATCTCATTCCTATCCTGAGCTGGGTCCCAGTAACTGTAGCTTCCCTGGACATGATCCTATGGTTGCAGAATGCAACATCTGATGCATAAATTCCCAAGAACTTTGGCAGAGGCAAGTGGAGCTGTGGGGGAATTTGAGCAGAGAGCAGCCTTGTTGGTCTGCTCTCAGTCCCTGCTTTATTACAGCCCCTAATGATGAAGCCGCACTGGTTGGTAGGATGTGATGGGGTCTTTTTAGTTTGTTATTACACCCTGGGTTACTGTCACTCTCCAGTGAGACTGAGGGTTTGTGTTAGAACCCTGCAGTTTGAAAAGTCTCATCCATTAATTGTCCATCCTTGCAGGACAACAGCATGGAGCAAAAGCAAAATAAACTGACTTTAATCCAAACAGGAGCAGCCTTATGTGGAGCTGCTGTTCCCATGCTACATCAGCCATGGAGACTAAGTAGAGTTCAGGGTAGAATCAACTCTTCTTCAGGGCAAACTCACAAGCCTTTTCTTTCTTTTGGTGGTTTGGTTTGGTTTGGTTTGGTTTGGTTTTTGGTTTGTTTAGGGTTTTTTTGTGGTAGTTATTGCTAGTGCTGTTGTAGTGAAATACTTACCTCCTTAACACATGTTCCTCAGTCTGTCCTGGTAGTTCAGTTCATCTTATATTTTTTATAACAAATTTATGTATGCCCACTGAGATGCAGTCCTCCCCAATGAATTCTTATAAATTCTTACTCTCACAAATAGCAATATTATTTTTATCTTTGCTAATACCAATAAACCTTATATTATTTTTTCACTATGGGGAAAAATCTGTATTGATTTGTCCTATCTTTTCCCTCAGAAGCTCTTTTCATGTCAATTAAGACCATGATATTTTAAACTGTGATGCATTATATCATGATGAAGAAGTGTCTATTCTATGTTGATCACCTTCTTTCTTCACTGCTCTTATCAGTATCTGTGGGCTGTTCCCATGAGACGGGGGGACTTAGGCTGATTAGAAAAGCTGATGCTGTAACACTTGCTTAGGTCTTGAAAATAAATTAAGAAAAATTTCAATCACTTCTATGCTGAGGCGATTCTGTGTTTATTGCTATTAATAAAATTGAAAATCAAAAAAAGTTAAAACTACAAGTTTTTGTTTTCAGGATAGAAAAAAACCCACTTAAAACTGTATTATTAGTGGCTATGCAAATCTGAAAGTTTCTTTAGAATAGTGAACCAATATTCATTTTTCTAGAATGTACAACAAATTCTGTGGAAAAAACTAATGCATACATTTTCCTGACCAACCAAATGACTGATCATCACACTTGAGAGGAACAGCTCCAAGATTATCCATTCCTTGTCTTTGGCACCATTTTTCTCACTGTGGACAGTGTCATTTTACCTCACTCCCATCTCTTTGCTCCACAGCGACCCCACAATGATGAAGTTCCACGTTGAGGATGACGCTGTGAGGAATTACTAGCTGGCTTTCATTCATGTAGCCCTTTGAACAAATGGAGCTCTGTTTCCTTTGTGAGGACTCTCCAGGCTGGTCTCAGTGCAGTTCTCAGGGGAGACGTGTCTGCACCTTGGAAATAGCAGTGAGAAGGCTTAATAAGCCATAAAAATAAATAAAGTTTAGCTTCTTCAGCAAGAAGACCTTATTTAAGACAGAGGATGTATTGATCAGTTCATAGAAACTCAGATGCAATTATATGATCACTCTTGATTTGTCCTTTAACTAGATTTTTTAGTTTACATTTGGGTTTTTCTTATACCACTGCAATAATTTTCAGTTTAACTTTTTAATTGGCAGCTACTTTGCATTTTCAGGACTTAAAAGCTTTAAATTACATAGTGTATGAAACTTTAAGATTTGTGTTTTCATTTCATATGTGAAAGGTGTCTCTTAAAAGTACATCTTTCCTTGAAATAAAACTGATTATAGATACACTCCTCCCTCTACATACACCAACACTAAAATGCACCATAAACTATTTATATAATCATTGTTCAATGCCTTTAACATGTTGATTCAGGAAAAAAACATGGCACAATAATTTCAAAGATTTTATGCATGTACTTCTCCCCATTTCAGTGATGTGATTCAGTATAGTCTCCACAAATAGTTGCTGGATGTGTACAATCCTTTGTGCATCACTGTGTGTGTGTGTTCAGAAGTACATCTTAGTATTAGTCTGTGACAGATGTCTGTGGACATGATTTTCTGAGCCTGAGAGAGCTTCAGCCTGTCAGTGGCTGATCTGTTTCCCAAGGGAAGGTCTTTTTGGAAACTTTTCTCTCTCAAAGACTGTTTTCTGTAAATAAGTTTTGGTTTTCAAAACAATGTTGTACAGATGTTCTGAATGTTTTTTTCTCTTGTCCCACCAGTGGGATGAGAGAGGTGTTGTTCCTTGTACCAATCAGGTTAACCTGTATCAGAACACCTTATAAAAGGGGCTGAAAACCCCAAAATAAAGGCTTTTGCCTCCATGAGATTGAAAGCCTTGGCTGTTGTGACTGAACCCATTGCTTCTATTTTGTGTCCTCTAGTGACAGATGTGCTCTACAAACAGAAAGTTTTCTGATTTTAAAGACCATCTCAAATTCATCTGTGAAATATTTTTTATTATTGCCATTATTGTTTAGCACTCTCAATTTAATTGTGCTGTGCTTCAAAAACTGAAATTACTTAACACCTTTTACATAAATGCTCTTACTATATTAGTGGGGCTTTGAAGATCAAGCTTTTAATTTCTAATGTGTAATCAGTTGTGTGATTAAATGTTTGGAAGATGAAATACTGCAACGTAAAAGGCTTGTCTTGAAAGGGGCTAAAAGTATGAGTTTTCCAAATAATAGGCATAATTTTAAAATCCTCTATTTCATCCCCAGAAGCAGAATTATTCCCTAAAACCATTGTCTAGAATAATGTAGAGTTTTGGTGTTAGGTATTTGTTTTTACGCAATGCTTTGAAAGTTTCCCCCTAGAGTGAATAAAACCCAGTCTTTGTACTGATCAGAAAACCACTGAGGAAGTCTTCATAATTTTGTACTTTCAATCTGAAATGCACACTAAACCCAGCAGGATGGCATCTGTTTCCAGACAGATTTTTAGAGACATGCAGGGTCACCTGAAGCTGACACCTAAAAGCAAGTTTGTACTTTGAAGGGACTGTAGAAAAATTACTCTCTTAAGCAATGTGTTTGAAACTCCTCTATGAAGTATTGGAGATCAATGGGACTGCAGTTTTTTATCTCTTATGGCTGCACACTTTTGAAAAGGGGGGAAAGAAAACCCTCTTTGAGATGGAAAGGAATAAAATGTACAGTCACGTTTAAATTTAGAGCCTCATGTTAAAAACCATCCCCTGAGAACTTGCAGGGCTCTGTCCCTATGCCACCCCCCCCCACCCCCACTGGACATTTTATTTAGTGATTGTCTAATGTAAAATACATTTGAGAAATTTCTACCAGAGGAACCAAATCAGTGTCCTCTTCCAAAGGTGGGAGCTCAATCTACTGATTCAAAAGAGTCATGAGTGTTAATACTCACCTACTGTCACTCCTGCTGTTGAAGATGACTGAAAATGGAGAGTGTTTAGGATACACTCAGTCTTATCCTTGGAGATGGTGTTTTTCAACACTTGCACATTGGGGTACATGCATGGATTAAAGTCTGAGTCTTACTTATTTTATAGAGCAGATGCGTGAAACAAACAGCTTTTGCTGTGTTTTTTTTATCTTTCCTTCCTATCCCCAGACTGTAATTATGGGAAAGATTTGAGCACAAGAAAATGTTTGAGCAATTAAGTAATTTTAAAGCAGTTCACAATGACGTATTGATAGAATCTTGACTGATCTTAAGCACTGAGTTATTTGGCCACATCAACATTAAAAGGTTTGCAAAAAATACTGAGAAGAAGAATTTCAGGTACCAGCAGATATTTCAGGCACATTTCTCCACTAACTTAAGGATCTTTATGGCTTAAGTGGGAAATTGCAATTCTGTATTCAAGAGTTTAGATTTCCTTTTTAAGTGCTGAAATCCCATTATTGCTTTTAACAGAATTTCTAGATAAGGTCTTCTATAATGTCTAGTTCTTACATTTATGCATTAACTGTGAAAGT